CCATATACAGTGCGTTCTAGTGTGGTTAGCTGCTGGAACGCACTGTATGGCATAGTAAACTACCCCGTGTTTTGGTGCATGCACCATTTTTTCTGCGGGCAGGGGTGCCATTGACTTCAATGCACTACCATACCCCTTCCTGCCTCAGCACGCACAGGGGAGTTTTTTATGCGATACAGCTAGTTCCAGCAGCTAACCGCACTGTATATGGTGTGAACAAGCCGTAACCCTTTTTTCTCTCTGCAATATTGATGAGCTCGGGCGTGTTCGCAAACGCCTCGTGCCGAGCCCGCCGGGAAGCTGTCAGCACGCAGGGCCAATCACAGGCACTGAGACATTTTCCCGGTCCGCAGCTGCAGAGATCGGAAAATGGCTCAGTGCCTGTGATTGGCCCTGCGCGCTGACGGCTTCCTGGCGGGCTCGGCACGAGGCGCTGGCGAACACGCCCGAGCTCATCACTACTCTGCACCTTTAGACCTGACTCCCCCCTGTCCCACCCCCTTCATTCAGGGGAGTGGGAAGGGCGATTTGCATATTAATGAGACATGGCGGGATTTGCATATGAATACCGCGGCTCATTAATATGCAAATCCCGCAATTAGCATATGAATGAGCCGCGGCCAGTGTTAATGGCTCCTGCAGCTCATGTAAGGAGAACAAAGTCTTCAGTCCCTGTCCCCCCCGACGCTTCAGTCCCTGTCCCCACTTACCTGTCAGCAGTCCTAGCAGCAGTGAAGATCACACACACTTCCACTCAGCTGCTTCGCCATCTCCTCCAGCCGGACACAGGCAGGAGATAACTCCGCCCACCCCCGCTCTGCACTGTAACTGGCAGGGGAGAGGATTGCAGATTAAGTGTCCTTAGGTTCCGTGCAACGGTGAAGTTTTTGACTTGCGGCCGCACGGAAAATAAGGACCCCTAAACCTCCCTCCTGCTCCTGGCCGGGCCCCGTTCTGGCGCGGGCCCCATAGCGCCCGCATGGGTCGCTATGGCGGTAGTTCCGCCCCTGGAGGAGAGACATAAGGAAGAAGAAGAAAAAAAAGGAGGGAGAGAAGAGGAGGAAAAAGAAGAGGCATGAGAGGAGAGACATGAGGAAGAAGAAAAGATAAAGGGAGAGAGGAGAGGGAAGGTGAGAAGAGCCATAAGAGGGGAGCCCTGAGGAAGAAGGAAAGAAGAAAAAGGTGAGAGGAGAGGAGTTAGGAAAAGAGGCGTGAGAGGAGAGACATTAGGAAGAAGGAAAAAAGAAGGGGAAGAGGAGAGGAAAGGGGGAATGGGAAGAGACACCAAAGAGAAGGAATCAAGTAGGGAAAGAAGGGGAAGAAGAGAACAACGGGGGAATGAGAAGAGGCATGCGAGGAGAGACATGGGAAAGAAGAAAATGAGAAAGTAAAGAGGAAAGGAGTAAGGAAAAAAGGGCATGAGAGGAGAGGCAGTAGGAAGAATGAAAATAGAAGGGTAAGATGAGAGGAAAAGGGGAAATGAGAAGGAGGAATCAAGTAAGGAGAGAAGAGTGGAAATAAAAAAAAGGCATGAGACATGGCAAAGAAGGCAAGAAAAGGAGAAAAAAAAGAGTGGTAAAGAGGAAGAAGAAGCATAAGAAGAGAGCAACGAGGAAGAAGAAGGAAAGGAGAAGCAAGTGAGGAAAGGGGGAATGGGAAGAGGCATGAAAGGGGAGCCATGAGGACGAAGGAAAGAAGAAAGAAAGAAAAGGAAGAAGGAAAAAGGCATAAGAGGAGAGACACAAAGAAGAAGGGAGTGAGGAGAGGAGAGAAATGGGAAATAAGAAGGGGCGTAAGAGGAGAGACATGAGGAAAAAGGGAAGAACAAAATAGGAAGCGAGAGAGGAGAAGAGGAAGAAGAAAAGACATGAGGAGAAATGAAAGGAGAAGGAAGAGAGGAAAGTGGAGGAGAGGGGTGTGGTGAAGAAAAGGAGGAAGGAGAAGAGACATAACAGAAAGTAGTGAGAAAAAGTAACAAAATGAGAAAAAAGGAGAGGAGAGGAAAGGGGAAATTAGAAGAGATATGAGAGAAGAGACAGGAGGAAGAACGAAAAGGAAGGGAGAGAGGAAAGCAGAAGAGAGGAGAGTTGATGTTATGGTGAAGAAAAGGAGGAAGGAGAAGAGAGCTAGAAAAAGAGACAGAAAGAGAAAAAGAAGAAGGAGAGAGTGGGAAAGCAGAGAGTGGAATGTATCCCTTGTAGGTTTCAGCTCTAGCCTCTTACACATGGTAGACACCATTATTCAGAGTGGAAACCATGAACTGGCATTACTCTCCGGATTAGAGTCCATCACTTATCACTACAACAGCATGATCTTTCTAGACGCAGGTCAGACAAAAGTATCTTCTAAAAATAATCCAGCTGCCTAGCCACCGTAAATGGGCCAACAACATTCTTGCTTTATATAAGAACATGCCTCTGTGATGACAAGACAATAACATATAATATGAACACTCTATTAATAAAATAGATACCATCTCCGGCACCTTCTTATATAAGAGACTGGCAGCTTCTACTGAATGCAGCCAGCATGGGAATGGGGGCAGCTCCAGTGCATAGTCCATCATACTGGTCAGACGGCTTTCACAAGCCTTAACCTGCTCACCTGCACTACCCCCACCATAGGTGTGTACCGCACTCTCCTTTAATGATCCCTCTCTTTGTTACACACTTAGCCACGCAGAATACAAGGATTACTTCCTGCCTTACACCTCTTACACAGCCACTTGAAAGCAGGTAAAATGTAATTACCCAACCTATTATTATCATCCTCCTAATATTCAGTGTATAATGTGTAGCAAGTAAACAGGAAATTGTCCATCAAGTTGGGGAATTCAGCTCAGCCTTATGGAGTGGGGGAACAAGTGATAAGACTGGTAGGGGGCCACAGGAAAATAATAGATGGTGGGAAAGTAGAGAGAGCAACTAATAATACCCAGGTCATCTAAGCACAAAGGGGGCAGCAAGAGATGGTCCATCTGCTGGGTAGGCTATGAACACAGACTGGCATTGATGCATAATGCTAACTCTATGTGGCACAACAAAAGTATAAATGCATCTGCTGCCTGCGTAACTATATTGCCCCAGATCCCACCAGTATTTCTGTTGGGTGACAGCTGCTCCCCAAATGGACTAGAATGAATATTCAGGTGGTCAGACCCCCCATTGTAGCTTACCTTTGTTTTCTTATTTTACTTTACATTGTGCTATGCAAGTATACAGTATATGTAAACAATAAGTCAAGGCAACTGAACTTGCTGTATTTTTCTTGAAGACATTGCCTTGACTTATTTTTTACAGATATACCATGACCTGGATGAATGAGAACCTTCACAGACATATGCAAGTATATGCATTTGCTGTATGTTGTTATGTACTATTGACTTGTAACACCTACTTTTTACAATACCATAAGAGCTTATGGCGTTATGGAAATGACTACTATTCAAAGTAAAAGTTGGAGCATAACAAAACCCTTTAGTCACCATGGCAACAAATTACCATCAGCTAAAGCCACTGCCACCTTCTTTCCTTATTGTTTCTAGAGTACCCAACTGCCATCACCTCCATCCACTACCATCTCTCTTACATACTGTTTCTAGTTTACGGAATTGCCATTTCCTCCAGCCACTGCCATCTGTCTTACCTAGTGTATGTAGTTCACCCTACTGCCATTACTTCCATCCACTGCCAACTCTCCTTCCTATTATATCTAGTTTACCCAGCTACCAACACCTCCATCCACTGTCATCTCTAGTTCTTCCCTATTGTATGTAGTACACCCGACTGCCATAATCGTCAGGCAGTTCCAACACACTTCCTTGATCCTTCCAAAGTACAAACTCACAACTCAAAGAGCCCCTAATTTCTGCTCTGTACCACAGAACTTTATTTATGTATTTATTTGAAAACTGTACTATATCTCCCACCCAGCCTCCCCACATAGCTGATACGTTTTACACCCATTTTAGATATATAATTACCTGTCAGGGATATGAATTCAGGTCATACACCTACACTTCCTTGGAGTACTGTAATTAGCACAGAATAATCATTCTAAACCATAAAAACACCCTTATATCCTTCAATTTACTATCAACACACTCTTTATCTTGGCACTATCACCCAGCATCATACTCCCCTGTTCCGCGCCCTAAAATACCCTATAAATCTGCATCAACACATTGTGGGATTTCCAATTTCCTACCGCAATACTCATTCAACTCAGTCAACACATACCATACCTCATTATCATACCCTACTATTCTGTGCCATCATTCCCTGACATTGTCCATCATCAAACTCTACCAATCTCCACCATCATACCCTACCATTCTTCACCATCCCCCCTCCCATGCTTCATCATCATGCCCTACCATTCTCCACCATTATACTCTACCATTCTCCATTATCATATCTTACAATTTTCCATCTTCATACCTTACCATTCCCCACCATCATATCTTTATATTCTCCACTTTCATATCTTACTAATAGCCATCATCATACCCTACCATTCCTTAACATTATACACTATCATTCTTAGCCATCATAACCTATCATTCTCTACCATAGCACCCTAGCATTCACCAGTATCATACCCTGGCATTCTCAATCATCATACCCTATCATTCTCCACCATCATAGCAAAATATTCTCCACCTTCCTACCCTACCAATATCCATCATCATACCCTATTATTCTCCAGCATCAAACCCTACCATTCTCCACCATCTAACATACTATTCTGTACCATCATACCCAACCATTCTCCACCATCATACCCTACCTTTTTCACTGCAATAGCCTACCATTCTCCATAATGACATACTTCTAGTTATGAAATATACATTATGACCTATGAGATGATCCTTTGAGATGACACTGCAATTTGGTGTCACTAGCACATAAGAAAAAAGAAAGGCTTTTACCCAGTTAGGGGCGTAATAATAATTTTCCCTGGAATGCTGTTAACATGGATGTCTCCATTCTCTCTTTCAGGATCTTCTGCTGGAACTGTAAAGACGGAGAAGAGCGTCACCGCAGTATTGGGACTTGACGTCACACTCACATGTTACTATGAAGCTCAGGAAGGAGAGAAGGTCTCTCAGGTTGTTTGGTCAAAGAAAGGCCCTGGAGGGCAAAGTGTACAGATTGCCATCCTGAATGCAGAATTTGGATCTTTTGTGTACAAAGAATTCGAAGGAAGGGTGACAGAAAAATCTCCACTACAGCCAGAGGATGGCACAATAATCCTGAAGAATGCCGTCCAAGCAGATGAGGGCACCTACCAGTGCCAAATGAACACTTTTCCAGCAGGGAACTTTGAAGCAGATCTTGTGCTTAATGTTCTTGGTAAGAGCAAGCTAAAACAACAGAGGGGCATTCCTGAAAATGCCCCAGAAAAAAACAAAAGCATGATTTAGCATCTTCAGTAAGGGAGCCCAGAAATGTCAGCTTCACAGCAAAATCATTCGTGACATTTTGGGTTGTGTTGGGTTAATGTCCAAGTGCAAGTAGAACTTGCTAAAAATATAGAGCTTTCCAACCTTTTCCAATATTTATTTGACTGATCACTGCAGAATAAGAAGGTGACTGTATATGACACTGTATCAAACTGTACTGATCAACTACAATCACCTGCAGCCATTGCCATCTCTCTTCCCTATAGTATATCCAACTGCTATCGCTTTCATCCACTGCCACCTCCCTTCCCTACTGTACTGTATATAATGTACTCAACTGCCATCACCTTCATCCATGGCTATCTCCCTTCACTTTATCATGTTGTTTTGTATGGATAAAACTTAAGGCAGCAGTTAGTAAGCACCTCTTTGCTTTGAAGGTTGGACAGGAAATGGTGCTTGAAGGGGAGCGGATTGCTAATGACAAAATGATCAGATACTTTTGTGTATTGGATACCTCTTGAAGTATATGTATAGGTCTGCCAGCACCGGCCCTTGTGCTATGCAAGTTGCCCTTGTATGTCTTCCATCCACTACCATCTCCTTTCCCTAGGGTATATAGTGCAACTAACTGCCATCACCTCAAACTACAGCCATCTCCTTTCCCTAGAGTATACAGTGCACCTGACTCCCATCACATCGACCCACTACCATCTCCTTTCCTTGGGGTATATAGTGCACCCGACTGCCATCACCTCCATCTACAGCCATCTCCTTTTCCTACTGTATATAGTGTACCCAACTGCCATTACCTTCATCCACTGCCACCTCCTCTTCCCTGTTGTATATAGTGCACCCGACTGCCATCACATCCATACACAGCCATCTCCTTTCCCTAGGGTATATAGTGCACCCGACTGCCATCACATCCATCCACAGCCATCTCCTTTCCCTAGGGTATATAGTGCATCTGATTCCACTCACCTCCATCCACTGCCATCCCCCTTCCCTAGGGTATATAGTGCACCCGACTGCCATCCCCTCCATCCACTGCCATCTCCCTTTCCTACTGTATATAATCTACATATATAAATATATAGTGTACCCGACTGTCATCACCTCCAGGCACTGTCATTCCCCTTGTATGTAGTCTTCCATCCACTGCCATCTCCTTTCCTTGGGGTATATAGTGCAACTAACTGCCATCACCTCCATCTACAGCCATCTCCTTTTCTTACTGTATATAGTGTACACAACTGCCATTACCTTCATCCACTGCCATCTCCCCTTCCCTGTTGTATATAGTGCACCCGACTGCCATCACATCCATACACAGCCATCTCCTTTCCCTAGGGTATATAGAGCACCCGACTGCCATCACATCCATCCACAGCCATCTCCTTTCCCTAGGGTATATAGTGCACCTGATTCCACTCACCTCCATCCACAGCCATCCCCCTTCCCTAGGATATATAGTGCACCCGACTGCCATCCCCTCCATCCACTGCCATCTCCCTTTCCTACTGCATATAATCTACATATATAAATATATAGTGTACCCGACTGTCATCACCTCCAGGCACTGTCATTCCCCTTGTATGTAGTCTTCCATCCACAGCCATCTCCTTTCTCTGGGGTATATAGAGCACCCGACTGCCATCACATCCATCCACTGCCATCCCCCTTCCCTAGGATATATAGTGCACCCGACTGCCATCACATCCATCCACTGCCATCTCCCTTCCCTATTGTATGAAGTGTACCAAAGTTTTTTGTGTACTTTATTGGGTGTGAGAGTCAGTCATATGCACTGCTAGTTATGTTGTCAGTTGACTCTATCTTTGGTCTCAGGGTAGGTGATAGTCTCATATCATCCAGTGTATTCCATGTGTAATGGTACAGTGTTCACAGCTTACTATGGTTATTGGATGAAAGCGTGAACATTTTTTGTAGAATCTGAAATGTATCAGTTGTAGTACAGCGGCTTTGTTTTTATGGTAATTTCTAGTCAGGTATCTGGCCATTGTGAGCATGTTGTATCGCTGCACATAGTAATAATACAATGATACTATATGTTTGTAGGAAGGATCAACGGCCTCTAGCCTGCAGTGTGTAGAGGCCTATAAACGGCAGTGTGCACAGACATATAACATGCAATGTGCACAGATTTATCGCATGCATTGCGCACAGACCTATAACTTGCAGTGTGTGCAGACCTCTAACTTGCAATGTGCATACTGCATAGACCTATAGCATGCATTGTGCACAGACCTATAGCATGCATTGTGCACAGACCTATAACATGCAGTGTGTACAGGCCTCCTGTCACAGCATCGGTCACGTCTTCGTCCTCTCCATAATTCCAGCTCACAATTCCAGATCTCTGCAATGTCTACAATGTAATGAACCCACAGAGCAACTTCTAGATTTTATCTCTTCTTCTTATCACAGTTCCGCCTTTGCCAACGCTGAACACCGGGCCTTCGCTGGTGGAAGGAGTGGGCAAGACACTAGTGGCCTCATGTACGGCAGAGGGAAACCCTGCCCCCAGCCTGATCTGGCAGACAGAAGTGGTCGGCACAAACTTCTCTCGCACTCATCAACACGCCCGATCAGCCTCAGTGACCAGCGAGTTCTTTGTGGTGCCATCGCGCAATATGAATGGAAAGGCCCTGACCTGTGTGATATCACACCCTGGCTTCCAGGAGGAGAAGAAGATCACTCAATTGCTCTCTGTGAAATGTAAGTACTGATTGCTTTCTAGAAATAGCAATCCTGGAACTGTCTGTGTTGCCTTACTACGTGCAATCAAATCTCTGCATTTAGATCCCAGCTGACAGTGAAAGTGAGCAGAGATAGATAGTGCAAATATTACATGGGATGTTTTCCCCCCCCGACAGATCTCGCCGAGGCATCTATACAAGGCCACGAAGGCTGGTTCGCGGGGAAAGATGGCGCTGCACTCCAATGCATGTGTGATGGCAACCCACCACCAGTGTACAAGTGGTCCAGGTAAGGGTTTCTGTAATAACACACATGAGCCAACCTGTGATTTTATTACTAATACATGCCAATATTCTGGTGGTGACAACAGGTGAGGAGAGAATATCCATTGTAGACAGTAAGATGTAAGCTTATGGAGGCAAACACAGAATTTGTACAAATGGTAGAGTCATGATTTAGGCCATAGTTCAATGATTGCTTTATCTTGAATGAGAATATGAACTGGCAGATCTTGTGTCTTCAGAGTGGGAGAGATGGCTACAAGTCACCAACATGTCTGCTCAGTGGCCGTTCTGCTGACCCAGCCCCCGGGGTGCAGCCAACAGCCACAGACATCCAACATCCTCTCCGGCCATGCATGGAGAATGACCACGGGTCCCTCTGTCTGACATTGTAGGGACCGGAACTGCCAAGCTAACAGCATATGTCATGATCTGTCCAGATCACTCAGAGCCAATATAGTGAAAGCTGGCAGTGTGGTGAGGTCATGTGATCACTCAGAGCCAATATAAATAAACCTGGCAGTGTGGTGAGGTCATGTGATCATTTAGAAGCTAATGAACTGTCTACGGCATCATGCAGCAGTCCTAGTGTAGGACTCCTGGCCATCATGCAGACAGTATATTATGGCGAGCAGAGGACTCACCAAGGCCCAGGCACCCTGGGGGACCCCAAAAGCCATGGCAAGATCCCCCTAATACTGAAGAGTTGATCTGTATGGTTGCTGTATGTACAAATTTTAAGGTGTAGTATGTAGCCACCCTAAGTAGGAGTGTCTATAAAAATGTCAGGTTGTAGTCAGTCTGAGTCTGTTTGAGCTAAGTTCAGCTTTTTTGGGTTTTGCCTAAGCTCTAGTTATTGTTTTCCTTTGCCTACTGCTGGGGAGTGTCCATGACAAAGGTGTTGCAGGCTGTGCTAATCATAGTTAGGAATTTGTATCTCTCCCTGGCCAACCACTAGGAGGTTTATTGCCAATGATGCAGGCTGGAAAGGGGTATACGTATTTGGGGCGTGACCTTTGGAGGTCAGTCTTCCCCGGGAAGGGATGCAGTTTATTATAAGTATGTCGGCAAGTCCATGTGTGTCCTGTGTCCTAGCCATCTCTCCCAGGAGTGTTCAGTGAGAATCAATAAACTCCATCTTTGCATCTAAATTTGACTGGAACCCATCTGTTCACATTGCTCCACCATTGCCAAGGAGTGGACCAGGCCCTAAAGTGAAATGTTAGCCCACCCTGGCTCTGGGGTCCCTCAAATGCCTTTGAAGTTTGGGGGGGTCTAACTTTTTGGTGCCCAATTTGTTGGTTAACAGTACACTATTTTTGTTGCTGGTGGGCCTAGTAAATGACCGCAACTGCGCACAGATTCCATCTTGGCTCCATGTGGATGTGGAAGGACAACATCTAAAGCCTCAAATACTGTAACACCACTATCCTGTGCATTGTGATGAAGAACCTCGGATTCTGTAAAGTTCCAGAAGTTTCCAGACTGATAGTCAGGGCAGGAGGAGCGTTCCCTCTGATGCTGTGAAATAGAGAGTCGCAGCCTGTGTGGACAGGCATTGCTGCACATGGCGCGGGGCTGCTGTCTAACGCATGTCTGAAGAGAGAGTGTGATTTACCAATTCCACTGTGAACTTATCCTTAGCAGAATGGAAGGTCTTTGTTCCGGGGACCACCACGTACATACAAGGCCATAGAGAGAAACCAGATTACAGACACTGGGATACAGCTGCAAACCAGGGGGAATCTGGCATTGTATACCATCAGATGATACTAGACCATTGGTGTAGTTTGAGGGTGGACAGGGTCACCAGAACAGTTGTCACTGTGAGCCTGCTGCCTACACCAGGTCCACTCCAGCTGCTGCTGCAGAGAGCTCTTGGATTACATCAGACACAAGCAAATCAATCTCATCAGGGGCTTTCCACTGCAACATCGAGGCCTGGAAGACCTTCCATCTACCCCTGATTCAGAGGATCACCCTTCACTGACCACCGAGTTGCTTGAGGCCAGTAAGCCTACTGGAGTAGTGGGGAACGGAGAGAAAGTTAAATTGCAAAGTTGAGTTGTAATGTGTTGCCGTCAATTTCCTTCCCTGTTCAGTTGTTGGAGGTCATGTCAAAACCTACTGGACTTTGTGGATGCAAAGCCAGTCAAAAAAACCCACAGGCCAAACTTATCTTTTTTTCTATAGCGTTGGGATCAGGAAAGAGGTCTGCTGGACTTTGGGTATACAGAGCCAGCAAGAAAATATTAAGCCTGTAGAGCATTTGTTGGGGGCCCTGAACCAAGAATGTGCCTATTGGGGTTACAGAGCCAAGTTAAAAATCTGGAACAAAGAGAACTAGACTCTATCAACTTTGCAAATGTGGGATCTAAAGGTTAGCTAGGTTGTTTTTCTTTTTGCTGACCTTTGCAGGCAAGTCATTGATACCATAGACCGGCCTTTCTCAACCAGGGTGCCATGGCACCCTGGGGTGCCTCGTTCCTCAGGAGTGCCTCTAAATTTTTATATAGTGTCATGCCTTTCCATCTTCTCATGTGAAGGAGCTCCTGGTGTAAAGGGGTAACTCTGATGTAAAAAGGGGGGACTTTGATATGAAAGAGGGCTGTGATGTTAAGGGGGGACTTTCATGTGAAAGGGAGGCTTCTGACGTGAAGAGAGGCATTCTGATGTAAAGGGGGCCCCTACTGAGAGAGGGGACTCTGATGTGAAAGAAGGGGGCTCTTAATGTAATGGGGGCTGTTGATGTTAAGGGGGCTCTGATGTAAAAGGCGGGATTATAATATAAAGTGGGGACTTGTGATGTGAACAGGGCCCCCTAGTGTGAATGCGTGTCTCTGGTGGGAAAAGGGCAGGCTCCTGATGTGAAGGGGTCTCTGGTGTGAATGGAGAAGGCTTATAATGTAAAGGGGGGCTTCTATTGTGAGTGGGTGGCTCTGGAGTGAAAGGAGGGACCTCCTGATGTAAAGGGGTCTCTGCTATGAAGGGAGGGGTCTCTGATGTGAAAGGAGAAGGCTTATAATGTAAAGGGGGCAACTATTGTGAGTGGGTGGCTCTGGAGTGAAAGGAGGGGCCTCCTGATGTAAAGGGGTCTCTGCAATGAAGGGAGGGGCTCTGATGTGAAAGGAGAAGGCTTATAATGTAAAGGTGGCCTTCTGTTGTGAGTGGGTGGCTCTGGAGTGAAAGGAGGGGCCTCCTGATGTAAAGGGGTCTCTGCAATGAAGGGAGGGGGCTCTGATGTGAAAGGAGAAGGCTTATAATGTAAAGGGGGGCTTCTATTTTGAGTGGGTGGCTCTGGAGTGAAAGGAGGGGCCTCCTGATGTAAAGGGGTCTCTGCAATGAAGGGAGGGGGCTCTGATGTGAAAGGAGAAGGCTTATAATGTAAAGAGGGGCTTCTATTGTGAGTGGGTAACTCTGGAGTTAAGGGGGGGCCTCCTGATATAAAGGGGTCTCCGCAATGAAGGGAGGGGGCTCTGATGTGAAAGGAGAAGGCTTATAATGTAAAGGGGGGGCTTCTATTGTGAGTGGGTGGCTCTGGAGTGAAAGGAGGGGCCTCCTGATGTAAAGGAGAAGGCTTGTAATGTAAAGGGGGGCTCCTAATGTGAGTGGGTGGCTCTGGTGTGAAAGTAGGGTGCCTCCTGATTTAAAGGGGTCTCTGCTATGAAGGGAGGGGGCTCTGATGTGAAAGGAGAGGGCTTATAACGTAAAGAGGGGCTCCAATGTGAAAGGCCAGATTCTAAGGTGAAGGCGGGGGCACTGATGTTAAGGGAGCTTCCTGATTTGAAGTGAGGACGCCATTTTTTGTGTGTTTTTCTGTATGGCCCTGCCATACCAGACCTCTATCTGGGATAAGCCTCTGGTAAGGATTTGGGAGGGAGGGGCTATGCATTGTTTTTTTAGACTGGGGTGCCTTGAGAGTTTGCACACTTACAAAGGGTGTCACGACTGAAAAAAGGTTGAGAAACACAGCCATAGACTCGCCTGCTATCAAGAATTTGGAAGTTAAAAAAACCCTGTGGTCTATACCGATGTCCAGTGCTATTATTTGCATGTGCTGAAGTATTAGGATGCAGTGTCATTCTCCCAGGAGTGAGGCTTCTAGCCTTCCGAGAAAGTGTTATTGTCTTGAAGAATGTGATACAATGTGCATGTGGAATGCCACACATATGTTGTAACTGGTTAAGTGTTCTCGCTCCTTCCTCCATCCCTATCCCAATTTTGTTGGTCTGTTGTCCGCTCTCAGGCCCTGTGCTGCCTGTAGGCCTGCAGACGCTCTCAAGGATTGCGGCCCCGGTACCAGATTGCCAGCGCTGGCCCACATATACCCGCTGTGTGATAATCCGAACGATTGGGGAGGAGGGGGCGACTATAACAGGTTCACTTTCATTGTTTACACCAGTGCGGTCGAGGGCTCGGATATAAAACTCGCAGATGAAAGTAAGTTGTCATTTGGGATGAGACAAAAATTGCTGATTCACCCAGAAAAAGGAGTAGCAACCGAACGCGCTGCAACACGCCTGGAACACAGCAATATGGTGTGCAGCCGGTCACGTGGGCCAAGTCAGCATCCATTTCTGGTTTCTGTCAGGTCCCCATAGATATCTCTGTGGTCAGTACACGGGAAGGGATGGGGCCCCCCGGACCATGTTACAGCCCTCATTCTTCAGGTATGGACAGGGCCCTGGACAATCCCACAGCTCTCATTCCTCAGTCTGGACGCCCTGTGGCACTTGGCCAATTCCGTCACTGTGTGGGAATATGAGCAGCTGGGGATTCTGGTCGGACCAGTTCATGATGTCACGGTATGATCACACCTTATTTGTGCGAGCCGCTGCTTGTGTCACCCGCCATGTCTGAGTAACCCTTTCATCCTGCACAAATGTCATTCTGCTCATCGGGGCTCTTGGAAGAAGAGTCATATCACAAGTAAAGTAATGAGGGGAGCTATTTGCTAGCGTGCAGTTGACTTCCCCTCCTGTGATCTCCCAGAAGGATACTGACAGCAGTCATTGCTCAGGGGAGCACACACACAAGATTTCAGGATTGCTGAGTGATCAGCAGTGGAAAAAAACACTTCAGTACTGACCCTATAGCAGATCGTTATTCAACATGGCGCCACAGAGACTGAATCTATCATCACATTGCAGCATGGCGTCGGACACCACAACAGATTCAGTGGATACATTTTACCTTCATTAGGAAAAGGACTCATATTTTCTTGGTGTGCAGAAACTGAGCGTTGCATTCCCTGATATAATGAAATGTCGCAGTGGGTGTATCTTCCAGGACACAGGGGCCACTGCCAGGCTCTTGGATGATAGTATCAGAAAAGTTGCCATATCCATTAAAAAGTGTTTTGGGGGTTCAGAAGGACCCCTTTTATTAAGGCTTAATAATGTGGTAAGGCCGATGACTGGAGCATACTTCAAACACTTAGGATACTCATCTCCTGTGCTGGAGCTCCTCTCCTCCAACATTGTTGAGCCCTGATGAAGGCAGCTCCTTTCCAGTCCTGAAACATGACGGCTTTGTAACAGATTTTGTGATCAATAGATTCGATCTGGACGGAGCTAACACAGGCTTCTGTGTGAAGAAAGGGGGAAATCTACGTGAGCCATAAGACCCAATGTGATGGCCCCCAACCACCAACCAACCATGTTCCCCAAATTCCCCCCAACCAGGCTGAGCTCATACAGGCTTCTGTGTGAACAAAGGGTGAAATCTACATGAGCCATAAAACTCCATGTGTTGCCCC